ACATATGGTAAATAAAACTAATAATACACTAATGAAATTTACACACAGATTGCTCCAAATGAGTAAGTTCACTATGGTGTGAGTTTTCCTTCTCAGTCTTTAAATACTGATGTTTGATGTGCAGTACGAAGGGGTTTCATCTGGACAGAAGCAGAACAAGACTGTTTCAACCCTTATTAAATATTTGTAGTGCATAGATTTTAAGACAGCACCTTGTCTAGGCATTGGGTTTTTTTCACCTTTTTTATTTTTCCAAATGGAGAGTAAAAGGCTAAGGTCTTTATTCTGGTCACCATTAGCTATTGTGTGGGCAGATGAAAAATTGAGCAGAAATGCATCTGTTACATGCCAGACATTTTAGGAAGCAGTCAAAAAGAGCTCAAAATGGTGGAGAAGAATTTCCATTTTTCTGTTGCTTAAGTGGACTCCAAAGTGACTCTGTTCCCTTCTTCTTTAATTTTGATGTTTCTGCATAACACAAACCATAAGAAAACATAGTGATTATTGTAAAATGAGATCATTTATTGTTGTTCAAGTTCTTTCTGACTTGTGGTGACACTAAGGTGAACCTAACCCAGAGTTTTCTCAACAAGATTTAGTCAGAGGAAACTGAATAAAAGAGTGCGACGTGTCCAAGGTATTTATTTATCATGTCAGAACCGAATTGGGCGGTGCACTTATAATGTATTTAAAAATACAAGTGAAAGTTAAAAACTTGGTATTCTATTAAATGTCCTTTGACCAGAAGCTGGCCACTTGGAGTACATCTGGTGTCACTGTAAGAAAGTCCTCCATTGTGCATGTAGCAGGGCTCAATTGCATTGTAACAGATCGTCTGTGGTTTGCTCTTCTCCGCACTCGCATGTTGTGGACTCCACTTTGTGGCCCCATTTCTTAAGGTTAGCTCTGCATCTCATGGTGCCAGAGTGCAGCCTGTTCAGCGCCTTCCAAGTTGCTCAATCTTCTGTGTGCCTAGGATGGAGTCTCTCGTCTGGTATCAGCCACTGATTAAGGTTCCGCGTTTTCGCCAGCCACTTTAGGACTCTTGCTTGCTGAGGTGTTCCTACGATTATCTCTGTAGATCTTAGAAAGCTATTTCTTGATTTAAGGCATTGGCTTGCTGACTGATATCTAAACAGAGGATGGGCTGGAGATGTCAATGCCTTGTTCCTTTCATTACAGACTGCTCCTTCCTAACAGATGTCAGGTGGTGCAATCACGGGTTACCCAATGGGTTTCCATGGCCAAGCAGGGATTTAAACCCTGGTCTCCAGAGTTGTAGCCTAATGCTCAAATCTCTGCACCAGCTCCCAAATATTACTCTACCATTGTAAAAATATGTAGAGTCCTATACACATTTAAAAAGCATTTAATGGTTGTCACTACACATGTACGTTTCGATAGAGCTTTGTAATAACTTGGATAGCAGGAGAATACAACAACATCTTAAAATCCACAAAACAGTGATACCTTTATTTGGTGAACTAAAATGCACACAATTCATTATGCAAGCTTGCAAGCTTCACTAGCGTCTTCACCAGATAAAGATGTTACAAATCATACTGGAGCGGAGAAGTGTCACAGGCCCACATTTTCTTACAGATGTTACTTCTGTTGTTAGTTAGTTCTGCGGGGCAAGTATATAGTACAGAGCTTCTCAAACTTTTCCACTCATGACCCATTTCTGCCCAAGAAATTTTCAGGTATATGGGTAGATAAAATAGGTATAAAAATCAAACATTTACTGAAAACAAATCAGCATTTGCAAGCCTTGCTAAACAGGCTGGTTTTCCTTTTTATGGAGTGCAGCTGACACACCTTCTGCAGAGAATCATAGAATCATAAAATCATAGAATCAAAGAGTTGGAAGAGACCTCATGGGCCATCCAGTCCAACCCCCTGCCAAGAAGCAGGAATATTGCATTCAAATCACCCCTGACAGATGGCCATCCAGCCTCTATTTAAAAGCTTCCAAAGAAGGAGCCTCCACCACACTCCGGGGCAGAGAGTTCCACTGCTGAACGGCTCTCACAGTCAGGAAGTTCTTCCTCGTGTTCAGATGGAATTTCCTCTCTTGTAGTTTGAGCCATTGTTCCGTGTCCTAGTCTCCAAGGAAGCAGAAAACAAGCTTGCTCCCTCCTCCCTGTGGCTTCCTCTCACATATTTATACATGGCTATCATATCTCCTCTCAGCCTTCTCTTCTTCAGGCTAAACATGCCCAGCTCCTTAAGCCGCTCCTCATAGGGCTTGTTCTCCAGACCCTTGATCATTTTAGTCACCCTCCTAAAATGATCAAGGTTCTGGAGAACAAGCCCTATGAGGAGCCCACTCTAAACTGCACAGATTTGTATAAATGTCTACAACAGCTAGAACAGGGGTTCTCAACCTATGGGTACCTATTAATCCCCCAGCAACAACAACAAAAAAAGTTGGCCTTCAACTCCCAGTAACCCTAACAGCTGGTAAACTGGCTGGGATTTCTGGAAGTTGTAGGCCAAACATCTGGGGACCCACAGGTGTAGAACCGCTGACCTAGAAGGTGACATTCAGGAAAAATGTGACCCCAGTATTGAGCTAAGGGGTCCCATTTAGGGTCAGGACCCACAGTTTAAGGAGCAATGATATAGTACACATTCATTTCTCGTGTAAGAAGAAGGGGTAGTATTTTTTGAAAATTCTTCTTTACATATAGTGGCACTTACATTGGGCCAGTGATTCATCTTCAGGCTGGAGGAATGGGTCATTATCCAGAGTATTATTATTTTTTACAGTTTCCTTTTGTGTTTTACTTGTCTAGTGCATTCAGTGAAGGGTCTTTAGTAGTGTTATGTGCAGAATTTGTTTCTCCCATCTCATTTGTTTCATTTGTTACTTTGCGAGCACGGAACGGGAAGACCCCTCCCAGTACAAAAATCAGCTTGACACAAAAGCAAATGGGAGCAGGTACAGGTTCCAAGCCTGCTTTTCAGCATCACAGTTTAATCTTTTTTTATTAATCCCCTAGCAAAAAAAAAAAAGAAAAAAGAGTAAACCCTCACTCCCTGAAAACTACTCTCCTCTTCAAGGAGGTCATTTCTCTTCCTTACCTGAAAGTGGGGAGCTTCTTTAAAATGCCTTGGAGAGTGCTAGGCTGGCTGGCGTGGTGTAGCCCGGGAGAGAAAGCGTACATGCCTGCAGCCAAATGCCTTCCCCAAACTTGCCTCCTTGCCTTGGAAAGTGTGTGTGTGTGTGTGTATGTTGTGCAGGCCCAGAAAGCACCGGCACCTGCCAGTGCCTGCATCTGAGCGTCTCTTACTCTAGAGTAAGAGGCTTTCCAAGAAGATTGTGTGTGGCATGCAGGCCCAGAAAGCACCTGCGCCTGCCAGTGCCGGCAGCCAAGTGACTCTTACTCTAGAGCAAGAGGCTTTCCAAGTGTGTATGTGGTGTGCAGGCCCAGAAAATGCCCGCACCTGCCAATGCCTGAAGCCAAGCACCTCCTCTAGCATAGAAACAGCAGTTAGAAGAAGCCTCCTTAAAGCATGCACCTGGAAGAGAAGCGTGGGTGGGAAGCCTTCCCCCCAGTAATGGGTCATTAGAAAACGGCTCCTTTGACCCCAGAGCAAAAACAGATATCTGCCCTCTCGATTTTGGGAGGCTCCCAAAAAATGGATCGGGGCCCCCACTGAAAACTGGGACAGAAAACAAGTCAAGGTTTATTCCAAATGTACAACCCTAGTCTTTAGCACCTATTCACCACTTCCCTTACCACATTTCCTTGAAGAGTTTTTTTATTAATATAAAATTTCTTTTTTGCATTTGAACTTGGAAGTCACTGTGAGTTCACTTTAACAATCATTTGGATTCCCTGGAAAAAATGTCCAAGCTGATGTTAGAAGATATTTGTCTAAACCCAGTTGTTCGCGCCAACTGGAGGAGGCCCACAGAGCTAATGGAAACTTGGTAAATCAATACTTATGGAGATTACACTTATTCAATGGGCCTGTTCTACTTTGGCTTAATAAATGGATTTAGGCCATTATTTGGCCTAAATCTCTTTCGAAAACACCATCGCAGACCTTTTAAGAGATTAGCACAGCTCCTCTTCCAGAGGTGTAGTTTTGGAGGAAAGGGTCATGAAATTTTGCTGCAGTCCCCACATTTCTCACATTTCACATTGAAAATAATTTGCACCTGGAACTCTTGTATTTGCTGCATTCACGTTCCCTCAGCTAATTTGCCTGTTCTTTTTCATTGGATGCCTAAAGTACTTTTGTAAATGATCATCTGAAGTTTTTAGATATTGCACTGCTAGAGATTTGAGAGTGGAAGAAAAATGTCTTTGGAGGGGGGCTCATCTTGTAGCTGCACCCCTTTACTCCTCTGGAAGCGTGTCATAAGGTAGTTTATTGCAAGAGACTAATTTGACTCAAATTGTTTTGTTTGTAATCTTTGTCATATTTGTTATCATGTTGGCATTGACTTATGGTGACTTTATTAATGAGTGATCTTTGAGATCTCCAAACTCAGAGCAATGGCTCCTTTGCTTGAAATTATCCAGCTGTAGTGCAGTCTCCTTTTCCTACTGCTTCCACATTACCAAGCATTATACATTATAATTTCACAGTTTCCATATATATTCAGGTTTTCTTGCTTTGTTATGTTACCATGCGTCAAACTACAATTTTAGAGGGGTAAAAAATGCAATGGCTCCATTTCTGGATAATCGAGCTATGTAAACAACATTATAGTTGCAATACTAATTGGATGCAGTTACTTCACTCTAAGTACTGATGGTGACTGAAGCAATGGGCAAAATGGATATAGTTAGAGCAAAATTCTGAAGAACATTGAGTTTAATAAGAAATACAGTGTAAGAAATACAGTGTTGCAAATAGAGGTTAATTGAATCTGTTGAATTTGTTACTCTGATCTATTATAATGGAGAAAGAAAGAAAAAGGAAAAGTCTTGTGTTATAAGTTCACAGTTGGCTAATTTTTCCCCCCTTGGTTTGTCTTCCAGGTCTACGCACAATGAACTTGAAAAGAACCGGTAAGTCACCAATTAACAGATTTCCAAGGAATGCAAATGTTATCTATGTGGGGGCTTCTTTTTGAAACTTGGCCTATGGCATCTATTCTGTTATGGGGATAGTGGGAATTGTAGGCCAACACATCAGGAGAGTGCCAAATTCAGGAAGGCTGTGCTTTGGTGTACTCTTGCAGGTGTATCAGGTGAGTGTTTAAAAAGCAACAATAACAGAAGTTCTGTAATGGTTTTATTTTGGGTGTGTGGGGTGGGGGGCTGACTTCCCCCACTTTTCCAGAAATGCAAAGAAGTGACCCATTTTTTATGCTAATCTGTATGCAGAGGAAATACTGTTTCTCTTCTCCTTGAAAACTGAAATCTGATTGGGTCAGTGGCCATACACAAGGTTGCTAGGGTATTGGATTTCTCCAGCACTGGCACATGTTAACTAAAGCACTGTGCTTGTGTGTGTTTAGCCCTTCCCTTCTTTTCTCTGCCTATCAGGCCTGTCATAATCCCTGCCTCATTACAGGAAAACGGCATTGTCCAGTGGTCTCTGGAGTCTGGCAAACTGTTCGCTCCTGTGGAGTGGTGCTCTTATAACCTACTTTGGGACACCGGGTTCTTTTTTATTATTATCCTTGAGCCCAAGTTTCAGCAAGCTGTGCAGTTTTGTTGCTTGGCTAGTTCTACTCTATGACTCATCTCCTTTGTAATAAGAGTTAGAGTAATATAAATACTACTGAGACAACAGGGAGTTAGTTCACACGCAGATCAGGTTGTAGCATTTCTTTCAGGATGCGAGTGTTGTACCGGGGTTTCCTATTTATAAATTTATCCTCGGGATGGGGAGGCTGGTTGGCTCTACGTTCCCAGGCTGTAGTCTGTTGGAAGGGAAAACATTCATACAGAAGGAAGGTAGACTTATTTAGGACCTGTTGAGAATATGCTGATAAGGAGAAAAATAAAGAGTGTTTTGGTTTAGTGTCCTAGTTGGAACAGTAAAAGTTTGTGTTGAAAAGTTTGCATGTGCCGGTTTCCTTTCATCACAGTGTTTTGTAACTGTTGTTTTGTTTTGGTGTCCTAGCTTGTCCCATTACTTCGTAAGACTGTTCTTAGTGTGCTTCCTGTGTGTGTTTACTTTCTTCTGTCAAGAGTTGGTGCTGAGCTTCTACTGAGTTCAGCTATGACTAATGTGAAATGCAAAAAGCTCTCACACACAACATTATTTTATTGGTGTGTGTGAGAGAGAGTTGGGGGAGTTGTGACACATCTGCTGTGTTTGTGGAAATCCAAAGAAGGCATGAATCTATAGAAATAAAACTAAATAAATAAACAGAATTTAAAAAGCAATTAGTTGTGTACTACTACTACTACTACTAGTAGTAATAATAATAATAATAATAATAATAATAATAATAATAATAAACATTATTTATATTCCATCCTATCTCCCTGAGGGAACTCAGGGTGGATTCCAACTAACAAAAAAGGCAAACATTCAATGCCCCAGTCAGCAACAAATGTCAACGTAATATCCCATAAGAACCCCACATGTGAAAATAACATATAACATGAAATGTATAGATTAACTAAAATGCAATCTATCTAAAAATATTCTAACATAAAACCTAAATATATAACATCAAATACATCTACATTAATTTACAAGAGCCAACAAACGTTCACTCAGATTTTTGGGTTGGTTTTGTGGACGGTGATGTTAACTAGGCCAACATGGTCTTACGAAGCCCAAATACAATGATAGTTTTCAATCCGAGGTCTGGTAGCGGCCTCTCATCATCAGATCTTCCTCCTCTCCATACGCTAATGAGCAAAAGTAAGTTTTAAGTTGTTTTTGAAGGGGAGAAGGAGAGAGGGCATATTTATTTCTTTAGGGAGGGAGTTCCACAGGTGGGGGCATTCACGGAGAAGGCCATCGCTCTTGTTCCCCCCAACTGGACTTGAGATGGGGGTGGGACCGAGAGCAGGGCCTCCTCCACTGATCTCAGTGCCCAAGTTGGTTTATAGGAAGAGATGCAGTTAGTCAAATAGCTTGGACCCGAGCTGTTTACAGGATTGGAGCAATACATTTCACTTTCTGAGGACAAAATATTTCCTCAAACTTAAGCTGAGCGAACAGCTAGCTAACTCTTATTACTGTTGATGCAGGAATATATCAACATTGAGTCTAGGAAATATTTCCTCCTTAGGTTACAGTTCCAAGAATCTTGTAGCCATGCACCATGCTAGCAAGACAATTCTGGAGTTTTTAGTCTCCAAAATAACCTTTACAGGCTCTGAGGTAGCAGGCCAAATTAGGGGATCAGAATAAAACTATGTGGCATGCACATCTCTTTTCCTCCAAGATGGGAGAATGGCCAGGGAAAATCAAAGGAACAGCCAGGGAATTTGGTTGCTAGTCCACAGCATTTGCCCCGAGGTCTGTGTCGTGTTCTGTCTCGTGTTAGGGTTTGTTCTGCTGCACAAAATGTTTTGGAGATGAAACGTGGGCAACTGACACAGAGCAAGTTGCCCTTCCAAAGAACGGCACATTGCAAGAAGTGTACTTGTGTTCCAAAATAGTAATATGTTCCTGCTAAGAAAGCAACAAACTGAAGCAGGACACTTCTGAGATTTTGGCAAGATACCTTGGGACAGATAGCCACAGATATTAGCTGCAATCCCAAGTTGGGAACTGTGGCATTTTAGAGGCCCATTTTCTGCCCCGAGATCCTGCAAGAGACTACTTGAGTGTCACAAAAATCTCATCAAACCAAACTAGGAGTGACCAGAAGCTATTTTGGCAACAGGTTTTTATTTTGAACATTTTGTACTTCTGACAAAAAGGTTTTTTTTTTTAAGTCGAACATTGCAAGAAGGCCCTTTGAAGTATTTCAAAGGTGAATCACAATTCCTGGAAGCTTTCAAAATAGGCAATTTGGGGAGGGGAGGGTCAGAAAACTTGACAATCCTGGAAATCTGGACAGATCAAGGATTGCAAAAATATTTGGTTGAGGGGCACATGCAGCTTCATGACCAAAGTTTCCTACTCCTGCAGGCATTCCTGAATAATACCCTTCCTTAACACACTAATCAGCAACTTTCTTGCCCCCTTAGGTAGTTAAAACTCGTGAAGATTGTTGTACCATTGCATAGTGTGGGATTTATTTTTATAATCATGAATATGCTTGTCTGGTTGAAATCCAGTCTTCTCCTTTTTGGGAGCTGTTTAGGTGGAAAAGTCTGCTGCTTTTTCCATGAAAAAATGTCTACTGAACTATTTTTATGCATGGAGAAATATGTAGACAGAGAGCAATGCTACTTATAAATCCCCACTGTAAACCACATCATTGCACATTGTGTTTCATTTTCTTGTTAGTGTATGTGTGCACAGTCCTTGGTGAGTATGAGATCTGTTGCTTCATGTAGCCAGTGCAATGCACCAGCAGCAGTAGCAAAATCAGGGTTTGGCTTTGCCATTAATGTTGTTATGTCCTTTCTGGAGTCTCTACTGTCCCAACACAGCCATAAATCTGCCAAGATTAGCATGCTGCCATCCAGGATTTGAGCAACTTGTTGTTTGATCTGTTGAATTAACTTTTCTTTGCGTTGCTTCCATACTCACAAGTTGATTTCAAAATCTCCAAAGTCTCCCCCGCCCCTTTGTGTTGTGTATCAACAACACTAGACTTTGAACACTTCATAGTTTGTACTCTCACTTTTGCTTTTGATTTCAATCTGGCCTTCTTCCCTGTTCTGTGCAGAGTTTAGGAAAATTACTTTTCTAATATACAACTCCTATAACTCCCAAGGAAAGTATGAATGCTGGTTGCCCAAAGGACTTACATTTCCTCTACTATGTATGAAAGCATTCCTTGTCTTGTTGCTGTATATACTGCAGATATATCACTGGGTAACTTGGGCTACTAAACAAATAAGGATTTGGTCAGTACCTGTTGGTCATATATTTATAACATCTACATTGTGTTGTTGAAGGCTTTCATGGCCGGAATCACTGGTTTGCTGTGAGTCTCCAGTACCATTCATTTTCCTTGTTCGGGCGCTGCGTTTGGTGGTCCCTATGAAAGGCACTGCAGACTAATTCAACCAGAGGAGTCTGCCATAGCAGCAGGGGCGGCTCAACCCATTACGCGAAGTAAGCATTTGCAGTATAGTTGATTTTGCCCAGGGGCGCTCTTGAGGCACTCTTGGGGGAAAATAGACCTTGACATATGCGAGTTGTAGTTACTGGGATGTATAGTTCACCTACAATCAAAGAGCATTCTGAACTCCACTAATGATGGAATTGAACCAAATATGGCACACAGAACTCCCACGTATATTATTTGAGTACACAGAAATGCTGGACTACTCTAATAGCCACTATGTCAGACTACACAGAGAAGCCACTGAAACCCACAAGCATGCGGACAATTTAAACAAAAAGGAGGAAACCGTGAAAATGAACAAAATCTGGCTACTAGTATTAAAAAAACTCTAAAATCTGGATAATAAATAAGAACAACACTCAGAAAACAGGGGAAATCCAGATAGGAAATAATCACGGCCAGCTAACATCTCCCAACAAAGGATTCCCCCAGGCAGGAAGCAGCCAGGCTTTGCAGCTGCAGGGCTATTAAATGCTAATCAAGGTGACCAAGTGCAACATTCATACTTGCCTCAAACAGATAAGAGTTCTTTCTTCCACCCTGGACATTCCACAGATATATAAACACCACTTGCCTAGTTTCCAACCTCTGAGGATGCCTGCCATAGAAGTGGGTGAAATGTCAGGAGAGACTTCTTCTGGAGCATGGCCAGACAGCCCGGGAAACTCACAGCATCTACACTGCTTTGCATCTGGAAGTGGTCTTAGAATACCTTTTCTGCCTTCTCCTCTCTCTCTTAACTTATGTCAAGACCTCAGGCATATAATCAAAGGGGAAACAATGCAAAAGGCAGAAGAGCCTGGGAAGGAAGAGGAAAGCTTGCTGAGATGAGTTTACTGGAAGCTTTTAAAA